GGGGTTGTTAACCAATGTCATAAAACAGCATGTGTGTTACTGTTACATGAGAAACTATCTGTTCTGTAAGCCTTCACCTGAAGTACAATAAAATATTTAAAAAAAAAAAAAAAAAAGAAGAGAAAGACCATCAACATACAACCATTTACTGTTTTTCCTGTTGAGGCGGTAGGATGTGCCAGGGTACACACACATCCATCACCCACCCAAAACCACCTCCAAGGCACGTCGCAACTAAAATGTTGCTTACTGAGGTGATACAGAGGCAACCTGCCTACATGAAAGAGACAAAAGGGGGTTCCCAACTTGGAAGCATCCTTATCCCTGAGCAGTCGGGCCACTAGTCCCAACCATCACTATTGATTCAAGGTCTCATCACTCTCAGCAGCTCACCTAAGGGAGCCACAGCTCCCCCCAGATTACTCACAACCCTACTTCACAGCCCTTCAAGATATTAGCAAATCGCAAAGCTGTAGACATTCCTAAACAACACAATGCAGAATTTGTTTACATCTCTCCCTCCCCGACTAGCCTCGAAATGCACAGTCCCTCAACACACACATTCTGGGCTCAGACTCCACGTGGGTAGAACCGATCTGTGTGTCAGCCAGTCGCAGCATACCTGGGAAGAATGGTCAGCGTTGGAACAAGGTCGGCTCTCAGAGTCCTCGGTCTCTCTTTCCCCAAATGTTGAGTCCCAGCTAGAACTCAGCCTGGGGCCCAGTTCCTCCGAGATGGCAGAATGCCCTCACCATACACACTAAGACACACACACAGACAGACTGCCCCTATTGTATCCTCAATGCAACATCTGGTCAGGGAGGGTCCTGGTGGCAATTGCTCTCTGTCAATGTAAACAGACAGAAAGAGGCTGAACTCTACAGTCTTACAGGGTTAGTGGAGTCTGGCTTCTGGAGAAAGAACAACCCTACACAAAGCAGGGATGTCTCTACTGAGGAAAGGGAGAGGATGAGATTCACACTTTAGAGAGAGGTCTGCAGAAGGTCAAGAGATGGCAGTTCTATTAAAGGTCATGATGAATGAGAAAGTGCTCTGAATTTAAGGGGGGAAAGAAAATAGCTTAATCTTCAAAATGTTTTATGTTTTATAAGTGTTGTTAAGTGTGCACCAAAGTTAGACAAAAGGTTAACTTGACAGATGTGACTGCAAATCATGCATCAACCACTAGGGGGCGAGTAGGACTTCCCTGTAGAAAGGATTCAGGCATAAGGATGAAGGGAACTAACCTTTACAACGTGCCACTGCAGTAAACACTTGACCTACATGAATGAAGTTAATGAATTTAATCTTCAGAACAATCCCGAACGCCAGCTGCCATCAGTCAACTCTGACTCATGGTGATCTCATGTGTGTCAGAGTACAACTATGCTCCATAGCGTTTTCAGTGGCTGAGTTTTTGGAAGTAGATCACCAGGCCTTTCTTCTGAGACATCAAAGGATGGACTCCACCTCCAACTTTTCAGTTAGCAACTGAGCACGTTAGCTGTTTTACACACTCCAAACATCCCAGGAAGGAACATAATGTGCAGAACAGTTAAATAATTTGCCACAGCACTTGCTGGATCACTTTGGAGAAAATTAGGATCCCTCTGTGAGTGTCAGTCTCCTTATTTGTAAAATGGAAATATACCTTCTCTCCAGAACTGGAATGAAGAATGGAGATAAATGTCCATCATTGTGACTGGAGCAAATTTATCTAAGCCCTCTCCAGCTGACCTGGATCCTCCCCCGTGGCCTGAGATATGCTCAGGTCTCCACCATCCTAGAAACCACCCTCAACCCAGTGTCCCTCTCCAGGACTCCCCTCCTCGCCACCCACTTTACACTCACAGCCAACTTTCTCAAAGACTAGTCTCTGCGTCCTCACTTGCTCACCTGGCGTTCACGCCTCAACCCACTGCAGTCTGTCCTCCAGCAAACTGTTTCAGGGTAAGGCACCAATGAACACACACGCCACTAGCCCCTCCTTGGAACTCTTCTCTCCCTGGATATTACGATGCTGTGTTCTATGGGGTCTCCCCTTCTGTTCTGTGTCCTTCACAGGCTCTTTTCCCTTGTCAAACCCTTAAATTATGGTCCTGCACAAAGACGAAATTTTTCTAGGTGAAATCAGAATCACCCAGGAAGACAGCAGGATTGGGAGTAGGTGAGGCAGGGCAGTAAATCAAAGAGCAACAGGAAGACAGTCCTACACAGTGTGGGGGGGAGGGGGGGGGAGCCGACTTCTTTCACCTGATAAGGCAGTTCTCAGGTGTTAGGGTGCAAACCGATCACCTGAGGCGCCTGTTTAAAATGCAGGCTCCGGGTCTCCCTCAGGAAGTCTGACTCAGAAGACAGAATGAGGCCAAGGTATCTGAGTTTAATAAGCATCCCAGGTGATTTTCATGCCGGGGGGAGGGGGGGTCCCTAGGCCATACTGAGAAAAGCTGCCACACCCTGGCCTGGAAGAGGAAGCCCTAGAGGCTGTAGGTACAGAGCTTGTGAAAGGCTCCCCACAGGAATAACCTAGCTCTCCTCACCTGTCTTCTTACCCCATCCAGCCATTCTTCACATCTCAGACGATGATGAGCAGAATATCTTTCAAGATGGTAAGTTCCAGCTGGCAGGTTCTCTGCCTAGCCCTAGGCCCCTGCTGAGCCCTGACCCCCTCTGGATGCCCATAAGAGCCACCCCCGTGGGGTCAGCCCCCACAGGCCCACGGAGACTCCTTCCTAGCCAGGCTGCTCCCCCACCTCCCACCCCCCAGTCTCTCCTGCCTCCAGCCACAGACCCTTGGGGCCACAGGGAAACCAAACTTTCTCCTTGCAACCCTGAGATCTGGGGTAGGGGGCTGCCTGGGGCTCCATTTCTCAGGGATTCCTAGATTGTTTTGTATTGCAGAAATCATTTTCAGGTGTGAAGCTGAAGATGTTATTGGTACTATAGGTAAGAGGAGAGAAATTAGAGGAAGGAAGGAGGAGTGAAATGTACAGGAAGGAGGGAAAGTGGTGGAAGGGGGAAGGACAGGGGGAGACTAACTTATGATGAGTGGGTGAGCACTTATGTCTGATCAGGCTGATGAACACTGTAAAGAAAACATGCTTGGAGATATGGATACCAAGACACATGGGGGAGGAGGAATGGGGAAAATGCCAGGGGAATGAGAAGGGAAGTCAGAGATCAAGGGCTCCGGTTCCAGGTATAATAACCAGGGCCAGGGAGTGCAGCCCTACATAATGAGGCTGCTGGACATCCCCTGGGTACAGTAGAGACCCCTCACCTTCTACACCTTGGTTAATCACTTACAAACACAAAGGACAAAGGCAAAATCACATAATAATGGTATTACTGTTCTTATTGCCAAGAATACCTGTCTCCTATAGCCGGAAGAGAACCCCGCTGGTCATTTGGATGGCCTGGTGGCACCATCCTAGATGAACTGCAAAAGAACACTAAAGATCTATGGGTCAGCCCAACGTACCGCATCCGTTACATTCTCGGAGCCATAATGGGTAAGAGTGATTTGGGGGAAGAAAGGGACAGTCACAAGGGTGGTCCCCCAGACCCCTTGAAAATGATGCATTAGAGGCCACTTCTCTGCAGCCCTTCAAATATTGTAATCCTTCAGCCTCACATCATCCTTATCACTGAGGTCAGGAGGGCTTAGTGTGATAAACTCGTTATGTGATACAAAACAAGCCTGAGACCTAGGAAGTGCCTAGCCTATGTCCATCCAACGCATCATTGGAGGTGAATGATTCCAGCCTCCAGTCTCAGAATCCCATTCTCTGGACCACATTATTTAGCATCCTGGAGACCTTCTGCCAAGAGCAGAAGGAAGACTTCCCAGGGCTGGGAACTTGACCTTCAAGTCTAGTGGGTTTTATTCCTCTGTCTCAGAGTTCCCCTCTCACTGGTTCTACTAGTTCACAATGGGGAGAGGAAAATCTGGACTCTTCGTCACTCTTTTTCCCCAAATGTCTCCTCCTCCAGTGCTGAGTGACACCCAACATGATCTGCTAGCCTAATCCGTGGAGATGAGGACCCTGGCCCAGCAGAGGGAGCTGGTGAGAAACCACCAGGGGCCAGCAGCACAGGGAAGAGGGTGAAAGAACAGGAGAGGAGAAGAAATACTCTGAGAAAAGAAGGAAGATGCAAGTTTCCCTGGGATGGGAGACGGGATCCCAATATGGCAGTGAGAAATCCCCCACTGCAGCCTCCCACAGGAGAGCAGGCAGAATGGGTTTGAGGTGACCTCAGGAGGATCTGTTTCCCTGGCAACCCCTGCAGTAGGCCCCAGTAGTTCTAAATTAGCCATAGGAACACAGGTCCTTGGCCGCTGAGGTGATCTGGGTAATAACTCTGCTTTTATTTCAGTTACCATCTGCAAATTTCTTTTTCTCTCTCCATACAAATGTATATATAAATACTATTAGACATAGACAAATACATACATAAGCATGTGTACATATACATATATAATTTCAAACACTGACCACTATTCTGCAAAGTATATCTTACTATCACAACTTCGTAGCTAAGGACCAAGGCTCAATGATTTCCAATAACTTGCCCAAGATCACACTGATCATAAGACTTGACCGAGATGTGACTCCTGGTTCCCTTGGCACCAAAGCTCTTGCCACTTCTGCTCCCCTACATGGCCCTTGGCTCTTGGACAGGATTTTTCTTCCCGACCTCAAAGTCCGAGCTGTACAATCTGACAATGTTTCTTCTAGGTGAGGAGCATCCTGAAGCCAAACTTCAAATACCCCTGGCGCATTCCCTTTACCCTCAAACCCGAGCTCCTTGCCCTGCTTGCGGGGTGAGGGTGTGGCCATCACCTTCGGCCTGCTGGAGGAGTGTGGCCTGATGATGGCGCCAAATAACCCCAGGTCAACCTGGGATTTAGAAGCCAAAGGGCCCGTCTCTGCCCTGTACACAACCCTCTCAGTGCTACAGCAGCTGACTGATCCCTAGGCCCTCCCTGAAAGCAGCAGTCAGTCCAGAGAGGCCTGGTCCCACTACAGGCCTATGCTGGGAGTGTCTTTGGTGGGCTCTGGAGACACAGGGCCATGCCTATCTGCTTTTTTGGGTGGATACAACAGTGATTGACTGGCAAGAGACATGAAGGAACTTTCTGGAATGAGAAAAATATTCTATAACTTGATAAGTATTTATACAATTTACAAAACTCATCAAACAGTATATTAAAGATTTGAGCATGTCACTGTATGCAGATTTTGCTTCAAAACAATGTGAACAAATCATGAACTCTAGTCAGTAATAGGCCTTCTGAATTGTTTGGGTGATGTACTGGTTGTTTGTAACTTACTTTGCAATGCATCAAAAAATAAGGTGGCTGGATGGATGGATAGATATGTGACTGAGCAAAAACCAAACTAAACCAAACCCACTGCCATCAAGTCAATTCCAACTCATAGCAACCCTACCCTATAGGACAGAGTGGAACAGCCATATATGGTTTCCAAGGAATGCCTGGTGGATTCGAACTGCTGACCTTTTAGATAGCAGCCAAACTCTTAACCACTATGCCACCAGGGTTTCCTGTGACCAAACAAATGTAGTAAAATGGTAATAACTGGGGAATCTGGGTGAAGGATATACAAGAGTTCTGTTAGCAGTCAATTGCTTTAACCACTGCGCCACCAGGGCTCCTGCAAATATCTCCTGGTATTGAATAATGCTATGGAGATGTCCAAGGCCAGTCAAATGTTCTCCCCTTTGCAAATGAGTTTCTCTTTGTAACTGGATGCCTAAAGAATTCCTTCTTCATCCTTGAACCATGCTACGCCTGTGTGTTAGTCATGCTATGTGACTTTTCCTGGGATACTCTGCCTTTTGAGCTGCAGATTCAGTTTTTTCATTGCAGGAAAAATTTCTCATATCATTAAATAGATTTTATATTCTATTTGTTCGATTTTCCATTTCACAGACATCAATTGTCCTTCTGGGTCCTCTATATATATTTTATCTTGCCCAATTGCTACAATCTTTATTTTTTCTTTTGCATTCTCTGAGATCATGGCAGGCCTTTCCTCTGTATCTATAATTCAGCTCTCAACTTAATTATCATACTATCTGCTTTTCTAATATTAGTTCAGAAACTGTATTGTTTTGATCTCAAATTGTTTCCTAAGCTTTGCGATCTCCCCTTCCTTTAATATAATTGTTCATCCCAAGCATAGGCAGATCTGTTCAAACTCTCTACCTGCACAAAGACAGTGGGTTAGGTGAGTTTTTCTTGACCCCTTCAGCACCTTAACTGAGACCTGTTTCTCTTCTGCAGCAAACTAAGGTCTGAAGGCTGCATTTTCTGTAGCCTAGAGTACTGGTGTGTGGAAGGGGAGTTACAGTGTACAGAAGGGGCTATGAGCAATCCTGGGAGTCTGACTTGGACCCTGTGCCTTCACCCATGGATTTGCTAAATGCCCTGCACCTGAGTCCCTCCACCTCCATAGAAGCATATGTCTTTCCAACACAAGAATACCTGAGTCTTCAGAGAGGTACCCAGTTTTCACGGGGGAGGCCTCAGGAGTCACAGCTTCCTTGAGAGTTCGCCCAATTGCTTAGGGGGGTGGGGGGTGGGCAGAATGACTCAGCACCTGGACAAGGGCCGGCTTTCTCTGAGAACATGACTACAGGTGTGGTGACTGATCTTCATTTACAGTGTACAGTATAGCTTTGCTTTCCCCAAACGCTTTCTTGCTTTCAATGTCACTCCTCTCTTCCCAGAAGCCATGCCCAGTCTTTCTGTCCCCCAAATCCCACCTCCCCCTATGTCCCAACCAAGCAGATGACAGGAAAAGATTTCTTAGAAAAAATTTTTTGACCTTGAACTCAAGGGCACTTCAGCTTCCTCCTTCCTCAGACGATTTTGTCTGACTCATATTTTGTTTTCTCCTGTGTGAAATTTTCCTGTTTTTAATTTTTTTTTTAATTCATAACTATTAACTCTGGGTGTTTAGGAGTCATCTGTCTCTTCCCTTTCCACTCAGTGGAAACACACCAGAAAAACAGGAAAGAAAAGATAAGAATTCTAGAAGAGCAATTGAGGAAGCCTAACATCTAAAACAAGTTCCAAAAGGAGGGAGGAAAAAAAAAGAATAGGAAATCATCAATCAAATAATTCCAGAATATATCCCCTAACTAAGATAGGAGATTCCAGATTGAAAGAGCCCATCAAGCCCCTGACACAGGTGGATGAAAGCGGGCCCACATCAAAACACATTTTCATGACATTGCAGAACATCAGGGATGAAGTGGAAATCCAGGGCATGAAACAAAGGTTACTTAAAAAAGATCCAATGTGAAAATGACTCTGATGAACAACCACACAGGAAACTAAAGGCAATGGAGCAATGTGTTGTAAAATCCTGAAGGAAAATTACTTCCAAACTAGAATTCAATATCAAGTTTGAGGGTAGAATAAAGACATTTTCAGAGAAAGTCTCAAAAAATTTACTTCCCATGTTCCCTTTTCCCAAAAACTATAAGGATGTGATAAACCAAAACGAAAAAGAAATCCAATAAAGAGGAAGACATAGGATACCAGAAAAAGGAGTTCGGATACAGAAATCCATTTGCCATCGAGTTGATTCCAGCTCAGAATGACTCTAGAGGACAGAGTAGAACTGCCCCATAGGGTTTCCAAGGAGCTGCTGGTGGATTCGAACTGCCAGCCCTTTGGTTAGCAGCCAAATTCTTAACCACCGCGCCACCAGGGCTTCTAGTAGAGAAAAGAGACAGTGAATTCCCACGAGACACCAAGTACCTGGCAGAAGGCAATCAGATCCAGTGGGAGCATGTAGAAGGGTATGGGAGAGATTTCTCCAGGAAGATTAAATTGACAGAATATCTTGCATCTGAGCATTATTACAAGGAGATGTAAACAACCGGTAGAGTTCGAATTTGACTGACATAACTACAAAGAAAACAGAAAAGAAAAGGAAAAAAAGGACAATGAGAAACAAAAATCCCACAAGAAAGGAAAAATAATCATGATTTATTAAATAGCTTATGTCTGAATTACATTTATAGTCATAATAATATTGAACTAACCAAAGCACAATGTAATTGCTAGGAGGATGGGGGGTGAGGGTGGGAAGTATGCATGGATGTAGTTGTAGGGGATTGAGGGGGAGATGTACATTCTTATCTTCATGAGGTAAATCGTTGAATAATACCTAAAACTGAAAAAGTGAGACTATCGACAACAAGCTTGTTATTTAAGAGATACCAGTTAAACCAGCTGCCCTTCTGTGGACTTGGCTCACGCAACCCCATGCGTGTCCAAGTAGAACTGTGCTCCACAGGGTTTTCAATGGCTGGTATTTTTGACGTAGATTTCCAGGTCTTTTCTTCCAAGTTGCCTCTGGGTGGACTCAACCTCCAACCTTCCAGTTAGCAGCCAAGCACATTAACCATTTACACCACCCAAAACCAAAACCCACTGTCCTCAAGTCGTTTCCGACTCATAAGGACCCTACAGAACAGAACAGAACTGCCCCATAGGGTTTCCAAGGCTGTCCATCTTTACAGAAGCAGTCTGCCACATCTTGCTCCCATGGAGCAGCTGGTGGGTTCAAACGGTCGACCTTTCAATTAGCAGCCGAGAGTTTTAACCACTGCACCACCAGGGCTCCTTGAACCACCCAGGGACTCTATTTAACAGATCAAAAAAAAAAACCAAACTCGTTGCCATCAAGTTGATGCCGACTCATAGTGGCCCCTGTGTGTGTCAGAGCAGAACTGCTCCATAGGGTTTTCTTGGATGTAATCTCTCCGGAACCAGATTGCCAGGTCTTTCTCCCACAGAGCCGCTGAGTGGGTTTAGAACCAGCCTTCCCATTAGCCATGGAGTGCTTCACTGTCGGAACACTTGGGCTCCTTTTCTATAAACATTACAACCAAGAAAACCTTATGGAACACAGTTCTACTCCGTAACACACGCGGTCGCCATAAGACCAGATCAATTCCGCCGGCACAAGACCAACACAGAGCGGGAATTACCAAAAACAGCCGCAAGAAAAAGAGTTCAAAATTGTCTCGTCCGGGAAGAGGGCATGGAGGCGAGAGGGGAGCAGGTGTGTGATTTTAAAAAGTTTTGTAGAACAATCTGATTCTTCAAACTCTGTGGGTCTATAACTGATTAAGGAAAGAAAAACAAGTTAAACATAAAAATTCGCGTACCTCTTGAGGGCATCATTGAAGATTGGGGTCCCCGCGGGGACGCGCGGGCCTCAGGGCTGACGGAGAGCGCCCCTCCTGGGGTCACGACCCCTCGGGCAGGGGCAGGGCCGGAAACCCTGTGGCCCCGGCGGGGAGGGGGCAGAGAGTCCCTGCGTGGGGGCGCAGCCTGGGCCGACACAGTTCCCCCACGGCCCTCGGGGCGGCCGGATCCGCCTCAGGTACGGGGCTGAGAGGCTGCGACCGTCAGCCCGGAGGGATGAAAGCGCGCTTCCCCCGGCTGCCCTGAGAGGGCGCCCCCCAGCGGCCCCTCCAGGCGGGGTTCCCAGGGGCGGCGAGGGCCTTGTCTTGTGGCGCCGCAGCTATGGCGCCTTGCTCTCCTCGGCCCCGCTCCGCAGCCCGGCCCTTCTCCAGTCCCGTTGCCGAGGCTAAATTCCCGACTTTGGCTGGCATCTCCACCAGGGTGTCTTCCAGGCTCCTCTCACTCAGCATACCCACACCCTGGCTCCTCATCGTCTCCCCTGACGGTCGAACAGCGGCTCCCCCCAAGTCCTGGGCGCCTCTCTCTGGCCTGACGCCCCTTCAGGCCCGGGGCGCAGGAGCAGCTTTGGTCTCAGCTGGCCTCCCATTTGCCCAAGCCACAGTGTGACTATGGTGGGCTGGAGGCACTTTTGCCCTCGTGAGCCTCTTCATCCATAAAAAAACGCTAAGATTGTATTGGTATAAACAAGCTCTGAGGGTGCAGTGGTTAGGCACTTGACTGCTAACCAAAAGGTCAGCAGTTCAAATCCACCAATTGCTCCTTGAAAACCTTATGGGGCAGTTCTACACTGTTCTATAGGGTCGCTATGAGTCATAGCAACTTTTTTTTTTTTTTAAGACGAATATATTAACTTCATGCAGGAGCCCTGATGGCGCAATGGCTGCTAACCAAAAGGTGGCAGTTCAAGCCAGAGGCTCAGCAGAGAAAAGACCTGGCGATCTGCTCCCTTCAAGGTTATAGCCTGGGAAACCCAGTGAGGCAGTTCTACTCTCTCACATGAGGTGTCTATGCGTCAGAATTGACTAGACAGCACACAACAACAATGCATCAAGGCATTCTTTTCCAGCTAAAAGGTTTTTGTTTTTCTGATTTTAGAAGGAATTAAAACATTTTTGTGGGCCCTAAAATTCTTGAGGGCCTGGACACTGTGCCCACAGGAGAAGCCGGCCCTGCTCTTCCCCCTGCACCCAGGGCTGTGGGCCAGTCTCTCCCCTCCAGAAATCTGCCCAGGGCTCCCACTCCTCATCCTCCTGGGCCCTGTTCTGTTTGGAAACTCCACCCTGCTGGCAGCCTTTACCAAGGTCCCCGCCTCCACAGCCCTGGATGACACCTTCCTTTTTGCCCCTCAAGGAGCATGTCCTCCCTGTTCGCATGGGACACCAAGAGCTTGGTCAGGGAGCTGGGCAGGAAGGGCGAGCTAGTGCCCGTGGACAGCCTGAACAGCTCCCCATGCCTCCGTCCCTTCTGCCTGGTGAGGAAGAAGCACAAACGCCACCCCTGGCCTTGGGACACCCCCTTCATCCCCACGGACTTCTCCCTCCTGGATGTGCTGGAGCCAGGCTCCCCAGTCCCAGGTACATTCAGGTGGGGCTGATGGGCATGGGTTGCAAGACAGCTGGCAAAGAAGACAGACCAACTGACACCCTCCACCCAGGCACACAGAGACCCCCTCCGTCTGCCTGGTGGGAAGCATGCCATGGGCACTCTACATGGCGTGGGTGTGCCCAGGGGCAGGTTATCCAATAGGGAAGGTAAGCACGGTGCTTGCCTTGCTTACCAGATCATCTATAGTGAACAATTTCACATTTTTTCACCACATCAAAGATTCTGCTTCGAGGTATGGCTGGAAACTGTCTCTCTCCCAACCCCACAGCACCTCCCTGCAGAATTAAAGCTTCTTTTCAAATTTATAATCCCTGACAGGGTGGCAAAGGAGCCCTGGTGGCGCAGTGGTTAAGAGCTCAGCTCCTAACCAAAAGGTCATCAGTTAGAATCTTCCAGCCACTCCTTGGAAACCGTGTAGGGCAGTTCTACTCAGTCCTATAGGGTAGCTATGGATCCGAATCGACTCAACAGGAATGAGTGGGACAGGGTGGTGAAATGGTTAAGAGTTTGGCTGCTAACCAAAGGGTCAGCAGTTTGAATCCACCAGCCTTGGAAATCTTATGGGGCAGTTCTGCTCTGTCCTGTAGGATTGCTATGAGTCAACAACTCAATGGCAATGGAGTGGGTTGGGACAGGAACTGAGTACCCAGTAAGCAAGGTAAGCACGGGCTTACTTGTGCTTACTTGCTAACCTGTATCTACAGATTAGTAACTAAGCACAAATAAGCCCGTGCTTACCTTGTTTATTGGGTAATCCACCCTCAGGTGTCTTTCATGTGGGATAATGCATGAACCGATTTCTTCTTCCCATCCCTCAATAGTAATAAATACTAATAATTTTGAACAATAATGGTTAACATTGATGAAGTGCTCGCTGTGTGACAGGGACCATGTTGCCAGTTCCTCACTTCATCCGCACAACCACCCTTGGAAAAACACCCGCCATTCTTCCCCTTTTATAAATGGGGAAACTGAGGCTCCAAGAGGTTAAGTGAATCTGCCAGGGTCACACCCAGCTAGTAAGTGGTGGAGCCCAAATTGGAAGCCAAGGCTGGAGCCAACCCATGCCCTGAACCACACTGTGAACCTGCCCCCCTTGCTGTCTGGTCCCAGCCTGACTTCTCTCCTCTTACAGAGCTGAGCAGGAGCAAACCCATCTACATCCAGGAGACAGTGACAGGAGCAGTGACAGGGGCCCTGAGCTTGAGCACCGGGCTGCAGGGGAAGGTGATGGGGGGCGGCGTGGTGACCCACAGCTCTGCCCTGGCCCTGCAGACCCTCAAGGTTTCCCCTCGCACCTGGGAGACTCTGGTGGAGAAGAGGTAAGAGTCATGGAAAAGAGATGGGGAGAGTCAATTAGGCAGGCTCTACCAGCTATGGTCTGTAGGCACGGGTCCCCCAGGGGGGAGTGGGGAGTGGGGGACAGGAGGGAAAATCCCATGGTTTTTGCCAGATTGAGGCCTCCAGGGAAGTCACTCTGAGGCGTGAGGTGGGATGGGTGAGTCCACTATTAGCAGTGAAACCAGGGCCCAGGGAAGAGGGAGTCAGCAGTGAGAAGGAGCTGTGTTAGATCAGTGATTTCAACCCAGATGCATTCAGGGCCAGGCAGGGTGTAGGTAGCTGCTGAGCGTGAGACAATAGGGAGTGGTGGAGACTGTGGCAAACTGGGACACATGCCTGCCTAAAGCTAGCAGCTGCTGATCAGCTGCCATTAGTTGTTGGAAGGCAGGAATGTAGGGCTCAGTGGTGCCAGAATTCCCATTTTTCAGGAGAAGTTAGACATCTGGATTTCTATGTGAAACCTACCAATTTTTAACATCTCAAAAATTTTAAACACCATGTGGGCCAAATGCCATATGCCTTTGGCCCAGTCCAGCCTGAAGAAAACCAGTTTTACCTTCTTTTCAGGGTGTTTTAAACCTTGTAGAAGACAGGAAGCCTCAGACTTCCTCCACTGTCTCCCCTTTGCCAACCATCCCCAGCTGACCTTGAACAAGCCATCCCTAACTACAGGCCAGCCACACACCATATCACAGACCTAGATCTGCATGCAGTCTGTACTGCCCACATCGTACACAAGGCGTGGAAGGGCCCTGGACCAGGGGAGCCCTGCAGGGGCCCCTCCCCAGCTCTGCCTCTTCTCCTGTCCCTCCCCCTGCCCTCATTCCCAGGAAACTGAGGATGCCAAGGCCCTCCTTCCTCAGGGAATTGCAGAGCCGGAAGGAGAGGGAGAGCCTGTATGTGGTGACAGAGGCCGTGGAGACATTGCAGGACACCACGCTACAGAGCCTGAGCAAAGTGGAGGGGGCAGGGCAGCTGTCCTTCTTCGTGCCGGGCCATTTCAAGGTGCAGAGTGTGCCCTGGGGTGTTAACGTGGGTGTGTGGGGGTCCTGAGTGCCACCAAAGAGCCCACCCCTTCGGTGATGTTGTTGTTAGGTGCCGTTTAATCTGTTCAGACTCATAGCAACACTGTGTACAACAGAACGAAACACTGCCCGGTCTTGCGCCGTCCTCACAATCCTTGTTATGTTTGAGCCCATTGTTGCAGCCACGGTGTCAATCCATCTCCTCAAGGGTCTTCCTCTTTTCTGCTGACCTTCTACTTTACCAGGCATGATATCCTTCTCCAGGGACTCATCCTTCCTGATAACATGTCCAAAGAATGTGAGACATAGTCTCACCATCCTCACTTCTGAGAAGCATTCTGGTTGTACTTCTTCCAAGACAGATTTGTTTGTTCTTTTGGCAGTCCATGGTATATTCAATGTTCTTCGCCAGCACCACAGTTCAAAGGCATAACTCACAGCAAATAGCTGCCCTATTCTGAAAATCACCACATCCAGACGGGAATGGGGTCCCTGAGGATTTTGTGTCATGATCCTCAACTTGGACTTCACATTAGAATCACCTGGAGAGGCTGAGTTTTTTTGTTTGTTCAACACCCATGCCCAAACACCCGCAACCGAAAAAAAAAAACAGACTCCAACTCATGGCGGTCCCATGTGTGTCAGAGTAGAACCATGCTTCATAGGGTTTTCAATGGTGATTTTTCAAAAGCAGATCATCAAGCCTTTCTTCCAAGGCATCTTCAGATGGACTTGAATTTTTAACCTTTTGGTTAGCAGCCGAGTGCACTAACCATTTGCACCACCCAAAACCAAACCAAACCCAACCCGCTGCTGTTGATTCCAACTCATGGTGACCCTATAGGACAGGGTAGAACTACACTGTACGGTTTCTAAGGAGTGGCTGGTGGATCCGAACTGCTGACCTTTTGGTTAGCAGTCTGAGCTCTTAACCACCACACCCCCAGGGATTCCCAGACACCCCCTAACACTCCCAAAATATCTGTTTTAATTGGCCTGGAACTGGACCCACACATTCTGATTCTTATGTGTGGCAAGGGTGGACACCTTCGGTGGAGGGTGTTTTGTATCAGCATGGGAACCAGGCATTTCGGAATCTACTCAGCCCCTCACTAGCTGTGTGGCCTTGGCAAGTTACTTAACCCTCTGAGCTGACTTCTCTCATCCATGTCCTTGGGCTGGACAATCGGTGTGGGGATTAAGCGACAATGTGTGAAAAGTGGCCGACACTCAATTTTCAGTTTTCCTTCACCCAGACTTCCAGGCCACAGCTCTGTTCTTAGATAGGTCATTGCGGTTGTGTGGGCCCCAGTCTCATCCGAAATGCAGGCAGGTTGGACCCCACATTCTAGGACTCTGGAACTCGCATTTGTCTCCCACAGATTAAGTAGTCATTCCCAGCGTCACAGTTGACCCACTTTCACCATCCACATGAATGAAGGTGAGGACAGGTGGGGCTGTAGTCACTCCAGGTGATTCTAGCTACCGTTACTGAACGCTTCCTAGGAGCCAGGCATCATGCTAAATGTTCTCTATAATAAGCCCATGTAATCCTCCAGATGATTCCATGAGGTAGCTATCATTATGTCCATGTTTTAGGTGAGGAAACTGAGGTTCAAAGAGCGCCCAGCTGTAAGGGATGGAGCCGAAATCCAAACCTGGGTCTCTCTGGTTCCAAAGCCCATGTGTTTAATCAAGACAATTAAACGGAAGCAGGGCCTCTGAAGGCAACAGGTGGTTGGCCTTCTAAGTGTTTGGTATTTCAGAAGATGTTAAAATATGTAGACTCTCTCCAGCTTGCCAGTTGTGGGAAAGAGGCAGAGAAGCATGTGAGGGGAGGGCTGGGAGCAGCTGGAGAGTAGGGAAACCATCCTGCTATTAAACATTTGCTGTTGATAATAAGTAGTTAATCCAGAGTGTGTCATGAGCTGGGGTTCAGTGTTGGGTGACCAGCCTTCCCAGTTTACCCAAGACTGCGGGCTTTCCTGGGACCCAGGACTTCCAGTGCTAAAGCAGGAGAGTCCTAGGCAAAGCAGGATGGTTAGCCACCCTAGTGGTGAGTGAAAATAATAGTGGCTCAAAACAAGAACAGAGTCTCTGGGTGGTGGAAAGCAAGAATAATATGTCTGTCTTCCATAGAAGTCCAGATAGGCCTTCCAGGGCTGCAGTGTTGGATTGGGGGTTACCAGAGACGTAGTCTCCTTTGATTTTGTCACTCTGCCACTCTCAATTTACGGCTTCCACATCATGGCCCAAAATGGCTGCTCTAGCCCCAGTTATCATGTCCACATTCCAGCCAGCAGGAAGGAGAAAAAGGCAGGACCCCTCCCAGAACTTGCACACAGCACTTCTGTTTGCGTCCTGTTGGTCAGCATTTATTTATGTGGCCACATCTAGCTCCAAAGGAGCTGGGAATCACAGTCTTTATTCAGGACATCCATGTGTCAGGTGAAAAAGTTCTATTGTTGTTAAATAGTACTTTCCTTCCTGGAGTAGGTCGATAATGGTAGTATCACTGTCCGCAAATCAGGAGTCCCGTCAGGGGTGGCTCCTCCCTCCCACAACTTCCCGTCTTTGCACCTTGGTTTCCACCTGTAAAACGTGAGGGTGGGACTTCATCATCACTTGGGGTTTATCCAGCTGCAATACATCATGACGCCAGCATTTCCAAACTCTGGAAAATGCTTATTTAGACAAAATGAGATCTGTTATTTGCAGGATTTCTCAGAGCTTTTACTATGCACATCTCCAAAGGAGGATATAGTGGGTAGTAATTTCCAAATCTTTGTGACCCCAGAATGCCTTTTATTTTTTTCTGGAAACATCTCATGTGCAGCATATTTTGCAAAATACTGTTCTTGCTATAACTGGGGGCCCCCCAAGCCTTTGAATCTGCCTCTCCCCTCCATCCTCTCTAGCCCTCACCCTGAACAACGGATCTCTTCTTGATACCCTTCACTCCCTCCTCCTGCACTCTGCCCCTCCTGTCTGCCTTTAAGGTCCTAGAATCCTGTGCGGATATGACTTCCTGCTCTCTCCACCACCCTCATAGGGCCAATGCCAGAGCCACATGGCTAAAGAGAAGACAGTGACCGTCCCTCGGGGCAGTGTCTTGGCCTACAGGGTGCTGCAGCTAGTGATTGAGGAGGATCACTGGGGTAAGCAGCGGTCAGGCCCCCCACCCCCGGGCTCCCCTGCCCTTGGCCAGTGCTCTGGGAGAGCTGGGAGAGGGCCAGGGGCTGCGGCCAAGAGTCTGGCAGAAAGAGGGAAAGGAAGGCTATTTCCTTGTTGGCCTGAGCAGTAAGCCAGCTACGGTCAGGGGCCTGGGCCCTCATTACAGCTCCTAAGAGGATTTGACTTTGGAAGAGTGTCACTGAGGTCAGTTATCTAGGGAGGGCTTACGAGCCAGCCTGCACCCCACGTGCCCTGGTGGGGTGCTGCATTCCACTGGACAAAGGGCCGCCATCTCCTAAGTGGCACAAAGAATCATGTGGACTGGTGGTGGCCCTGCCCACCCATGGCCCAGGAGTGGGAGGTGGTGGGTTTCTACTCCCCCATCAGTGCCCCCACCCTGGTGACCACTGAGGACCCTCAACACTCAGCATGCTCAAATCCGGCTCACGGAATCTGCAGGGCCAGCCTCGGGTGGGGCAGGCGGACGGAGATTCAAACAGCTGCCTGCCCTAGCAGACAGAGCAGGGGCTCACCAGTCCAGTGCACTGAGGTTTGAATCGTGGCTTCACCGTTTGCCATCTGCGTGGCCTCGGCCACGTCACCCAACATTATCTCCAAGCCTCAATATCCTTGTCTGTGAAGGGGCTCATGCTCAGCCGACCCCGTAGAGGTGCTGTGAGGCCACAATGAGACGACCATCCATAGAAAGTGCTGCTCCATGCCTGCCTCTGTGAAGCTCAATAATGGCTAACTTTCTGCCTTCCTCTCAGGCACTTTCTCTTTTCCCTTCCTTTGCTCCCACAGCTATTCTTTACCTCCCTGAAGGGAAGCTCTGTAGAGACACTGGCAGAGGTGAGTGAACCAGCCAAAATCACCCACGGCACCGCAGCCGGTCCGCCTCCTGTAGAGGGTACGCTGCCACGTCCTCTGCCACGCTGTCACCCCACGTCACTCCAGGGCCAGGGTGGGCCTGGGCTCTCTTCCCCTGATGGGGTGGAGACACACTGGAAGAATGAGGAAGAGGCTATGGGGTAGGAAGAGGCGTGAGTGGGAGGCCCACTGTGGGCCCCACGCTCCAGCTCTCACAGCTGTGATCTGCTGGCACATACGATGGGGAGATGGACACTCATCTTTCCCAGTTGTGAGAATGAAGGACGGTCTGGAAGGTTCTCACAAGGCAACTTTTACTATTAACAGAGTGGGAGCAGGAAGGCAAGGGATGTGTGGAAACTCTGTGAGACCCACCCCCACCCCTACCCCTGAGGTAGTGCTTAGACTTCACTCGTGTTCCAGCCATGTGATCACTCTCCCCAGTGCCCCAGTGTTTGCCTCATAAATCCAAGCCTGGCTATCTGGCAGGAGGGAGCAGAGCAGGAGGCCGGGGCCTAAGCTAGCAGGGTCTGAGGAACAGACTGTTTCTTATGCAGAGAAAGTTTTCTCCTGGCTGAAGCAGGAGTGATGGCAGAGGGGCAAAAGGCAGGAAGGAGAGTGGGGAGCAGGGGACGATGAGGGAAGGCCGGCTTAGGGCCTGTGATTGGCACCTGGCCTGTGGTGGGTATCCAATAAATGTTGAACGAATGAGAGGTGAGCACAGAAAGGGGTGCCCTGCATGAGGCAGGCCTTCACCAGGTCAGCTCTGTGGTGCCAGGACCTCTTGTTCAGGCTGAAGGTGGCAGGGGCTGAGCTGTCCTGGGCAGGAGCCCAGGCACAGGAGCCAGTGATCGTGGACCCTCCTGCACAGACGAGGCCCCAGGTGAGGAGCCCGACTTCCTGGGCCTGCAGAGGCGGGCGAGTGCCCAGTTGCAGGACCTGGCCACACTGCCCCCTGAGCTGCGGTACTCACTACTGGGCGCCCTCCAAGAGCTTCTTAGGGACCCTTGGGCACTGCAGGAGCTGGAGGACATGGTGAGGGGCCCACAGGCCAGACCGGGGGATGGGAACTGGGATCCAGGGGGCGGGGGTGGGGACGGGAATGGGAGGCGGGTCCCAGGGGTGATTGGGTTGCTCCAGGCCTCCGGGGGCACAGCCCCGATGGTGGGGCAGGCTGTGTTGAGCTGCATGGTTCTGTGCAGGTATGTGTCAGATATGCCCCAGGCATTTGTTCGCAGATGCCCCAAGCCACCCTGAGCTGGGAGTGCAAAGGAGGGATCTTGGCTCTGCAGAGCATAACTCCCACCCGGGCTCTCGGGTTGCGACTGGGTGCAGGGTGGTGGGGAATGGAGCCTGGGAGGTGGCATGCAGGGGCAGAGGGCAGCACCACAGCTGCCCCTGTCTGCTCTGCCTGCCCCTTTCCTGCAGCTGGAGCAGGCCCTCTATACCGAGCTGCCAGCACAGCTGGAAGGCCCTGGCGGCACCATCCTGAGCACCCTCCGGGACCCCTGCGGCAGCCTGTCGCCCTCTCGAGGCAGGGCCGTTCTCTGCCTCCTCGGAGCCCTCGTGGGTACGGGGGGTAGGCGTGGGGCTGGGGTGGGAGAAAGAGAACCCCGGAGGAAGGTCTCCCAAGGCCCTGGCCCAGCCTTGCTGAGCCCCCAACATCTCGCACTTTCTCCCAGCCCCCGGGAGCACTCGTGTCTAGGTCACACGGGGTTCTCAGTGCAGCACGCCAGCGTGGTGGGTGGAATGGACAAACACCCCGTCTCCGCTTCTTTACGTTCCTGAACTGTAAAGGGAGGGGCAGAAACTCGCACCCAGCAGGGTTCTTCCTTCTTTCCCTCCATAAGCCTTTGTGGAGCCATTTGTGGAGAGCTCTCCTCTCCTCTGAGTCCTGGAGTGGGGACAGATGTTGCACAAATACAGACAGATGCTTCCCCGGGCCAAATTAGCCAATAAACAAAGTACTCAGGGGTTTACTTGTGTTTACTTACTAATCTGTGGTGAACAGTTTCACCACAGCGTCGACGTGGTGAAACCCATGTGAAACTGTTCACTACAGATTAGTAAGTAAACACAAGTAAGCCCTTGTGTAACCTTGCTTTATGTAAACCAGTGTGTAGGGTGTTTACTGGTTAATCCGCCCCCGCTTGCACTCTGCAGTGGGGTTAGCAGACACTGCCCAGCTAGGCCCAGGGTGGCCTCCCTGAGGAGGCAGCCTGAAAGCTGAGAGTGGACGCTGACAAGGACAAGACTGTGGGAAGGGTCCCGGGGGGAACGGGCGACACAGCAGCTCGCGGGCAGCGGGAGGGCGGAGCGTTGAAGACAGGGCTGGGCTGTTCTATCGTCCCCTTGGTGAAGTCGGCAACTTCATTTCCCAGAATCCCCTTTCCTGCTTGGTCCTGGGTGAGAGGCGGCCAAGAGGAGCCTGCATGAGGTTTGGGGACAGAAGTGAGGCAGCAGCCGTTCGTCTCTGAAGGGTCTGTGGCACTGTGGCAGTCAGACTCGGTGACAGGCGGGCGCGCAGCACGTCCTATCTGTCCTTGCTCTCCTCCCTCCACACTTAGTGCTTCTTCCCGACTTTGAGCCCTGCTGATGACAGTGGCCTCAGCCCCATCACCAGACACCTGATGGTAGACCAGAGGCAGGAATTAGAGAGGCGACAGCCTCCAACTGGACCCTCTGCAGCTTCCCTTCCCGGTCCCCAGACCCCTCAGCCCTACGACTTTCCTCCTTGCTTACCCCACTGTGGTCTCTGTGCTGTTGTTCCTTGAACAAGTCAAACCCACTCTTGCCTCAGGGCCTTTGCACTGCTGTTCTCTCTGCCTGGAATGTTCTTTCCCAGAGAGCCCCACAAGGCTTATTATGTTTACTGCCTATTAGCAATTCCAAGAAAGAGTTGTTCTCTGTATTGCCCACATGCCTGCTCGACTGCCCATGTGCCTGGCACATAGTAGGTGCTCAACATCCACTGGATCCCTCCCCACGGTGAGGAGGTTGAGATAGAGATGCCCCGCCATTGGGCGTGGTCACTTGGCCAATCAGGGCTGACTCTGCCCTGGGGCTGGCGAATGCTGTTGCCCAAGGCTGGAGCATCATGTCTGGGATGAGACCTACCTGGGTTCTTATCCTGGTTCAGCCACTAATAGGATGAGTAGCCTCGGGGAAGTCCCACAGCATCCTGGTTAATAACCACCTAGCAAAGCCATGGGCCCAGCAGATAACCTAGTTTATCTGTGAACCCTTTGTAAAGTCAAGGCCGCCATACACGTATAGGGAAATGGAGCAGGACAGGGAGGGGCAGCAACTTGTGCAAGGCCCCTCAGCAGTTCCAGAGCAGACACAGCTCCTGCCTTTCAGAACCTTTCCCGGAAACATGGCCCCAGGGGTGCCAGTACCTAGTGGGGCTTCTCCCCAGCTTAGGACTCCAACATCCCAGCCATTCTTTCCTGGGGTCACCAGCGCCCACAAAGTGGAGACACAGGGTGCCTCGGACCCTTGGCACCCCTCACTCCCCATCTCTCCACAGTGCTGAGTGACACCCAACACTGCCTGTTGGCCGAGTCCCTAGGGAAACGCATCCTACCCCAGCAGCTAGAGCTGGTGAGAGCCTCGGCAAGGAGATGGGTTGGGGGGAAGATATCCCTAGAAACAGCCAAAAGTGGTTTGTTGTGAGGTCTGGTCCCCAATATCCCTTCCTCAGCCTCCTTGCCACAGCTGTCACCCACAGAGGTGACCTCAGGACATGCAGGTTCCCTGCAGCCCTTTCAAGGTGGGCCACGTTCAGTCATGCACCAGTTAAGTCATTAAGCAGACTCCTGTGACCGTGTGCCAGGCCCTCTGCTAGGGCCAGAGAATACCCAGGAGACAAAGGCAGCTCACCCCTTCGGGTCTAGTCAAGGAGACAAGCAAACAGGCCATTACAGACAGGGGGCTATGCAAGCACCAAAGAGGGGGGTTCAGGGGCATTTCCCAGAGGAGTGACCCTTCCACTCAGTTGAAGAATGAAAGATAAGGAGATAGGGCAGGATATTCAGGGGGAACAGCAGGTGCAAAGGCTGGAGGCACTGGGGAGGTGGAAACTCCTCTGACTTCAGACAACTGCAGTGAAGGCCATGTATATTGGGGGTCGGCGGGGTGGGGGGGGTTGCTAGTGCTTACCTGGGACCATAGTTCTGCAGGTAGTGACATCCCAGGGCTGTGGCTTGGTTGGGTGGGCAGCGGAGGCCCCAGACTCTTGCCCCCAGGGTAGGTTCCACCTGCCCAGGCTTGGGATACCTCTCTGTTCATTCTGGGTGTTTCCTTGCAGGTGGCAAGCATGTTAGAAGCCAACTTTAATCAGATGGAGGAAACAACTGTCTCCCTCCCGCCGGAAGTCCTCTCGTCCCTGCAGAGCGAGGATGCCGCCCTCGCCCTGAGCCTGGTGCAGAGCTGTGGGCTGGAGATGCAGGGGCCAGGCCTCCAGCTTGTCTGGGACCCGGAGGTGGTGCCGCAGCTCTCTGCGCTGTATGGGGCCCTTGCAGGGCTGCAGCTGCTGGCCTGCCCCGGCCCTGGGCCGTCCACACTGCTGCTTGAGGAGGGTGCCCAGTGCTGAGTCCAGGGAGGATGAGGAGGCAGCCCATCTGGCGGTGGCCCCTGTGGATTTCAGCCTCCCCTGGGACTGGCTCATGCACTATGTCTCCTGTCCCTCTCAGAACTGCTCCCCAGGCACTAGACCTGCCTATCCAGGACCATGGGTGGGTCCTAGAGGGCCCCACTGTGGATCAGGGTTCTTCCTGGAGAGGCAGTGGAGGCTGGTTCCAGAACAGCCGGGACTCCGTTCACCACTCACAGCCGGGTAGCTTCAGGCAAGTCACTTCCCTCTCGGTGCTTGCTTTCCTGTAAAATTAGCCCCGTAAAATGGAAGGAGAATAATCCCTTGCTCAGAGGATTGTAGTAAAGATTTCAAAAGTTGTTATAAAGTGCTTAGGACAGTGCCTGGCTGTCAGCTCTTACTGTGTGGTGTTGATGTTATTTAATTTCTGAAGGAAGCTAACAAAGAAGATGGACAATCTCCCCTTAATTTCTCTTCTGGCCTCAGTTTTCCCATCTGTAAAATGGCAGAGATGGATCAAACCACTCAGGTCTCATCCAACTGCACTATTCAGTGATTCTACAGGCCACACAGATGGGGAGCGTGTGGGCTAGGGTGAGAGTTTTCAGCACAGGACCAGAAGCTGGGCCCTTGAGTCAGGACCAGGGCTCTCTGCATAATTGTTTGATTGTGGAAATTTGCCGAGTCACTGCCAGCATCTCTCCAGGGCAGCAACTGGATTTCTTCTGTAATAAATGTTTTTCTGGTAAAGTACACATTGCCCAAGACGGCTGTGCATATGATAAGTGCAGGAGTGTGTGCGAGGGGCATGGACAGGGAGCAGGGGAAGAGCCAGAGTACACGGTAGCCCCACGAGGCAGTGGGCTTCGTGGGCTCCCAAACACTGTCCTCATCTCTGCCCGGACCTTGGCCAGTAGTTCTGGGTCCCAAGAGCGTGTCACACCAGTAGGCCAGGACCAGGTTCAGGTTGCCAGACTCCAGCTTGTCACTCAGTGGTCTTCCCAGCAGGGACATAAACTTCATTAGTGCTCATAAGGCAGACAGCTCACCTGACTCTGTCCACTCTGACCACCAGGGTCCTTTTCTAATGATACAAATGACTTAACAATCAAAAAATGGTCATTGTAAAAAAAAAAAAATTCAGAAACGTGAAGAATATTTTAATTACTATAACCCCACTCCCCAAAAATAACCATTGCTGACGTTTTGCTGTTTATCCTGTCTTTTTTTCTATGCAAACATATAAATTTCCTTGCAGAAAAATGTGTTAACATGACACATACAAACTTGCTTTTAAAAATTTAATACAGTAAAACCGGCGAAAGCTGGAACCTGTGGAAGGTGGAAACCTGTCAGAGAAAGAAAACTCACATATTTTCCACTAAAACAAGTGATAGAAAAGTGGTAAGACTGCACCGTCAAAGGCGGAAAGTGTGCGAGACGTGGAAAAACAGGGCAGTCCTGTCGAGCTCTGGCTCTCACAGGTTTCACTGTTTATTGTGTGCATGCCACTAAATATTCTCTCTAACACGAGAAGTCAGGTTTTTGGCACAGGGGTCTTTGTTGGCCTTACACCAATCTCTGGAAAGTCCCATCCTGGAAATCACATCATGTTATACTTTTAACCAAATTTAAGCGTCCTTTCTGAGTTTTGTCTGACTGGCAGGTGTGGACACTGGCTGCCCCTTGTGGAAAGCACGAACATAGCTATTGATTCCACTCTCCATTGCCAAAGCTGTCCAGTCCATCAATCAATCCTATTTTTGCACATTGCTCGAATGGGCTTGGAGACCCTCATGTTTTAATCCCAGTTTAAATAAAAAAATAGTTAAACAGCCACAAGTTAAAAGGAATTCATTATTTACTCGCATGCCTTAAAGGACACAAATAGAGTCTATATTATGTGGTCTGGAGCCCTGGTGGCAACAGTGGTTAAGAGCTATGACTGCTAACCAAAAAGTCGGCAGTTTGAATCCACCAGCTACTCCTTGGAAATCCCATGGGGCAGTTCTACTATGTCCTATAGGGTCGCTGTGAGTCAGAACTGACTTGATGGCAACAGGTTTGGTTTGATAGATACATGGTCTACATTAAAATCCTTTCCCTTTCCCTTTCCTCACTCCTGCAGCTGTCCCAGCACCTGCAGCCATACCCCAGCTTCTCCAGCTGCCCCAGCACCCGCAGCCCTACCCTGACTTCTCCAACTGCCCCAGCACCCGCAGCCCTACCCTGACTTCTCCAGCTGCCCCAGCACCTGCAGCCCTACCCCAGCTTCTCCAGCTGCCCCAGCACCCGCAGCCCTACCCTGACTTCTCTAGCTGCCCCAGCACCTGCAGCCCTACTGACTTCTCCAGCTGCCCCAGCACCTGCAGCCCTACCCTGACTTGTCCAGCTGCCCCAGCACCCGCAGCCCTACCCTGACCCTGACTTCCCCAGCTGCCCCAGCACCCACAGCCCTACCCTGACTTCTCCTTAGCCCCTGGCCACTCACCTCTCTCTCCCCTATCCTCATTCATCCTCCCCTCTCTGTATGTGAACTGACTCGGCTACTTTCGTCTGCAGGGGAAGTGTCTCAGTTTTCTAGTGCTGCTATAACAGAAGTACTGCAAGTAGGTAGCTTTAATGAACAGAAATGTTCTCACAGTTTTGGAGGCTAGAAGTCCGAATCCAGTGCACTGGCGCTCTCCGTCTGTTCTGGGAGAAAGTCCTTGTCTCGCCTTCTTTAGCCACAGCATTCCTGAGTGATCTCCACTTGGCATCCATCTTCCCCCATTTCTGCTTACTTGCACCTGAGCCTAATATGTTCTTTACATCTCAGAAGTGGTTAGGTTTAAGGCACACCCTACAATGACATGACCTCATTAACAAAGAAAACGCTGTTCCCAAATGGGATGACATCCACAGGTACAAGGGTTAGGATTTACAACACGTTTTGGGGACAGAACTCGGCCAGTCCATGACAGGAGGGAACAGACATCTGGTCCAATTAAAGAACCCTTTCTTGTGGTCTGGGAAACATGTTAATAAACGTTGTTCATAACATTTTTAAATTTTAACAGTCTTGACAGTTTTTGGCTGTAATTAGAGATGACTGTAATTTGGACCAACCATGTACTAATTAAATAAATTCTACAAAGTAAGACTTCCATCACCATCCAAGATAGGAAAACAATGTAATACAGAGCAAAGGCGCTGAAACCCACAGATTTGGACTGAATCTAGGTTCTATCAGTAGCTGTGTTACCTTAGGCAAGCTTCTTAACCTCTCTGAACTTGTTTCCTCATCTGTAAAGGTAGGGGTAATAATCTATTTGTCTGGGCCACTTGAATAGCATGCTTGCATACAGTGACCCCTCAATAGACTGGCTCCTTCCTTCCATGGGGCCACTATCACCTCACTACAATGCTCTTAAACGGTGTTGAGAAAGACGTGATCAGTGTTATCCAGAAGCTGATCCTTGAAATGTGAGTTTGTGTTCGTCAGATGGACATGGGAAGGAGGGGACGTCAGGTCCAGGGACCAGCCTGACCAGAGTTAAGAGAGTGCGGCACCCAAGGGAACAATCTGAACAGCAAGCAGTTGAGGCTGGCTGGAGAACACAGTGTGAAGTGGGACAGCGCATGAGTACAGGCCACAGTCAGCAGGGATTTGATCACAAATGGCTGTACGTACTGTGAACTGGCATTCTTTGACTACGTTTTGATGGCCTTGAGTCTTTTCCATAGTTAACCATTTTAATTGTATTTCACCTCAGATGAGCCCTGTGGCACAGTGGTTGAGTGCTCAGCTGCTAACTGAAAAGGTCGGTGGCTTGAACTCACCAGCTGCTCCACGGGAGAAAGATGTGGAAGTCTGCTTCCATAAAGATTACAGCTTTGGAAACCTGATGGGAAGTTCTACTCTGTACTACAGGGTCACCATGAGTCGGAATCGACTCAACAGCAAGAGGTTATACCTCAGGTATTATTCTCATTAAACTACCAGCATGGCTGGACTCGATAACCTTTAAGCAGCTTCTTCAGTCATGAGATGTAACGACAAATGTGTTCATTTTCTACCACCAGTGAGATCATGGCCTTCACCTTCTCCTCAGAAGTCCCTCTTCCCTCACTCCTCCAGGATAGGATCAAGGGCTGCTCCTCCCTCCACACTCAACAGCACATTTTTCTTTATGCTGCTACCCTCTCACTCCTGGGAGCTGAGAGTGAAGTTTGGTGGTTTTCCTTCTATTACTATAACCACACAACAGTAAATCAAGAATAAATTCAAGTCAATGACAAGATCACCAGGCTTACCGTACTTAGCAAGATTTTAAAGGCAATTAAAACACTATTGAAAAGACCCAGCTCTCCCCCTAAAAGAAAACTACCATAAATTTACATGCTTGCCAACTGCACCCTCCCCCCCGCCCCCAAGACGTATTTCTGTAAGCAACGCTATGCCAATTTACTTTTACATGTTGCTGGAAAACAAATAAGCATAGCACACTTATGAAAATACCTCGTGGGGGAGGGCCCAGTTGGCAAATAAACGTAGAAGATGTGTGTTATCTGCGTAAAAATACAGTATATGTGTATATGCATTCTATAAAAATATACGTGAGGAAAAAATTTTAGAAGACTAAAATCAAAACATCAGTAAACCAAGCCACACTTAGAAAAATGAAAGCTGATTTTATTTTATCATCAACAGCCATTCTTTAAACATGAACATGCATACGTAATATTCTACGCACACATCACAGTTTTTAACGTTAGTTAATAAAGGTTAAACACACAACATACATCCTTACAAAAAAAGTCAAAATGCAAACTTAAAACTTTAAACAAAAGACTTACTAATTTAAAAAAATTTTGTGTTGGGTACCATTTTGTACAACAGTTAATTTAAACATTTTCATTTTGGCTGAACATGAAAAAAGCGGCAGTAGAAAATAAAGTCATTGAGGGTTTTTAAATAGCAGAATAGGCAGTTTTACCATGCAGGAGAAGCAATATTAAATATTAGTTTTCAAAAAAACTCCACATTTAAAAATATTTAGTTCAAGTCACAGAATTTTTCTCAGTAGAGACCCCAATGCAATGCATAATTAGCTGCCTTAGATGGCCTGTTTGAAAGGTCACTACCCCTTCAAGGTATAACTTTACTGATTTTGGCACAGAAAAGAAGTTTTAAGAACATGATTAAAAAAGAGGGAAGAGGAACAGAGGAGAGAAATAAAAAGCGAGAATCAATGAGATAGTAATTGCAATCACTAAAAAACTGTGCATTCTCAGTCACTGCAGAATACTGTCCTCTTTCTATACCAGGTGCTTATTCCAGACCTGTTATTGCAGCATGGATTTAATTTGCTTGGAGGTAGTCTCATCATTCAAATGTTTTGTTGTGTACCTAAAAGCAAAAAAAAAAATCATCAATTTTAGAGATTTAAAAAGTATGGGCATTGGGTTCTTAGGGGTAGTTGCTCAGGCAAATCTTCTCACTCAAAATTATGCCATTTCTTTCCAGCTTTAACCCTGTTCAGGTTCTAGGTAGCATATCCTCCCCACCACCTTTGAAAAAGAATATCCAATAGTCATTTAAACTTATTCTAAAAATGTATTTTCTGTTAAGAAAATTTATCTGAGTTAGAACTACCTTGTTGAAATGATGCAGTTAAGTTCTAAACATAAACAATTATCTGTAACTTCTCACTCTAAGGAAAATAATTATTCTATCCCAGCCAAATCTGGCTCGCCATTTGCTTTTGTATGGCTTTGTGAGCTAAAAATGATTGTTAGATTTTTAAATGTTTGGAAAGGAAACAAAAGAATAACATTTCATGTAACATGGAAATTAGATGAAATTCAAATTTCAATGTTTATAAAGTTTTACTGGAACATAGCCATGCTGATTCATTTATGTATTGTCTATGGTTTCTTTCTTGATACAATGGCAAAGTTGAGAAACTATGACAGAGACCATATATACTTACTACTGGCCCTTTACAGGAAAAGTCTGCCAACTCATGTTCTTCCCTGCATTCAAGACAGCTCAACTACTACAGCTGTAACTGTCACGTCCCTAAAATGTTCCAATTCTCTAAGTGCCTTATTTCCAGGCAAGTGTGTTTTGCTATAAGCAGGCAAATCCAAATTAAGAATCAAAAAAAGAATCACTAAGAGTGATTATTATTTTGACAAGATTCATCATGGGATTCCTTTAAATAGCAGAAATCCAATAATATATATTTATTAACTATCTGTTGGAAGCCTACTATATGTTGGGCACTGTTCCAGGAGTTTACAATCCAGGAGAGGGAGAAACCTAACACCATTATAGAAGGCTGCTGTGGGGAAAGCCTAGGAGCAGAGAGTAAAGTACAACCAGAGGCTGGAGAGACAGCCAAAGACCAAGTCACGTGGACACCTGGAGGCCACAGAAAGGAGTTATTCCAAGTGCAATGGAAGCCAGTGGAGGGTTTTAAGCAGGCGAGTGAGTTATGTTTTGAAAAAGTCACTCTGGCTGTTGAGGGAGAACTGTGCATGCAGAAGGAGCAGCAGAGGAACCCATCAGTAGGCCACTGCAGAGGTCCAAGTGGAAGATGATAAACACAATGGAGATGGGGATCCAATGCCTGAATGTGGGATATATTCTGGAGATAATTCGGATAAAACTTTGATATTGGATTGGTTACTTTGGTTTATAAGAATTTCACATATAATCTTTAAAGCATGTATTATTTTAAGCAAGGTACATACACAGATGGTATTTCTGTGTTAAAGAAATTTAAACTCAATTCCTTTTAGGTTCATTTCAAATAAAAAAATTCAAGAAAAGTACTCAAATTTTTTGAGAGGTAAAGAGACAAATACGTGCTTATTAAATATCTGATACACTCTCTTCAATGTTACTTAGAAGTTACTTCCAAACTGTCCTCATAGTATTTAACAGGCACCAGAGTGTCTGGCACATAACAGGTGCTCAATAAATTTTTATGGAAGGAAGACGAGAAGACAGGCATCCAGGCTGCAAAGAAAAATCCATAAAGGAATATTTACATTAAGTGGTAGGTGATGTAGCAAAGACTTAATCTTTCTGTTGTATTCCTCAAGTACAGGTGAAGTAATATAGCTACACATAATCCTGATGGCACAAAATAGAAGTCTTCAACATCCATCTCTTCATTTCTGTTTCTTCCCCTCTCCTCTTTACACTGGATAGTGCGAAGACCTAAGCAATGTGCACGTTAAAATTTCCACTGGCAGAGTACTTAAAAAGTATTACTGCTCAGCAATATACTGTGACATTCAGAGTTGGGAGTTCTTTCCTCTCTACCCTGACACACGTCCCCTCTCCTCCTGCGGACGTGGTCATCATCTGAGCAGTTCTCAGATCCTTCCTCTGACACAGCCAACCAGAAGCAGTGTATCACCACCCTTTCCATCAAGGAAGGGCTAGTAAGACCTAATGTATATGAAACGGTCATGAAGATATGTATGGGTTATTTCTCTCTATGTACAGAAACAAAGTCCTATTATTTACCTTTACTCTTAAGTTTAACAGAGGAGGCAATTATCTAGCACTGAACCTTTACTCCCAGCTCTAGCTCTCTTTTCTCTTTCCCTCTTATGCTCCAAGGCATTTGGTTCCCTTTCTCCTAATCACATACTATAAGTTGGAGGTACTATATAAGTAATTACTATAGAAAAGCATCAAAAACAAACCATACATATAAATAATTTTTATATACATATAATTTATATAAATTGTACTTTCATTTAAATCTTTTGGTCATTAACTGCTATCTCTGAGGAAAACAGAGTATCTTTGAATAAATCAGCTATTCACTAAAAAAACAATTCTGTAAAGGACACTTGTTCCATTTTGTAGAGATATAAATAACACCACTTGCCTAGTATTTCTGGAGATTACAACATGCTTTCTTAATATCTCATTTGCTCTGAGTGAAGCATATTAAGAGCTGGGCTGATTTGACTTAAGCAGCATTTCTCAAAGCATCAGCATCATCTGCATCACCTAGGGTGGGTGTCCATTTAAAATGAAGCTGCCTGAGGTCCGTCCCACATTTCATGGAGAGACTCTCTGGGGTGGGGACTTGGGAATCTGCATTTTCCATAATCATCCAGGTGATTCTAAAGCACACTGAAGTTTCTAATAACACAGTACAACCAAGATTCAATGGGATAGCACAGAGTATATGGGGAATAAATCCCAACATGTACTAGCTGTATAATCTTAGTCTCTCAAGAGCCTAAGGTAAAATGGAGATACTACTAAGACCTCATATCACCAACTACCGCACAGAGCTGTGATGAGGGCTAATGATGTCATGTAGATGAAACTGCATTGTAAATTTACAGGGATACAGGTGGCTCTTGCCTCTACGGATCTTTCTTCCCCCTTCCCTCAAACACAAACAGACTACTGTGTGTAAGACTTCAACTCCATCTTTCACTCACTCCCACTGCCCTCCCTTGACCTAATTCTAGAGAAAAAGTGACCGCACTATCCTTAAACCAGGGCTTTCAACTGGTTCAAATCAGTTCAGTCACGGCCAACGAAACGAACTCAGAACAGACTCGAATTTCTAAAATTTGGGTGATCCGGGACGATAACCGGAAGGGGAAAAATTACTGGTCAAAGCCCTGGAATGGGAAACTCAGAAGAAGCGCAGTGAGCCCTTCAGGAGCCTCATGTGTGAGACTGGATTACTGGCGGGACTGTGGAGAGCCACACACATTCAAAGCGGCGTGGCCGGCCACCATCTTCGAGCAGCGCACCACTGTTTCCAACCAGGCAAGAGACCTGGTTGCTATACAACATGTACACCACCCTTGTTTCCTGAGAGGGAGATTAAGTTTCTAGCAGGGTTTCGACCTGTTCCAGTTATCGTTCCTGTTCACCCCAATTTTAAAAATTTGGGTCTGCTTCAGTTTTGCTTCCTCAGCCATGACTGAACAGGGAAGAACTGGTTCGAAGCCCTGCCTTGAACTCAATCATAAAAGTAAACTCTGAATTTTTAGATTAATTTCTAAGGCATATGCCCTCCAAAGGAAAGAAATAATACTAAAATCTCCCAAATCTCAATTACCTCTTAATTTTTAAAAAAGATTTCCAGTTACTTGGTGGCTTCGGAGAGTCTAACCAATGAGAAAGTAAAGGTCTTGGGGACAAAGTCAGGCTGACTGGGACCCAGGGAGTGTTCAGAAAGGAACTAAGCGGCAAGATTCACGACAGCGTACATATTGGTAAAACCAATGAAGCTTGCCTTGTAAAACCTCAAGTGTAAAAACTTCCCCAAAACTAGGCTGTGGCTGAAACAGTCTGACATAAGGGTTTTTAATTGTTTAGATTATGTTCCTTAACTTTTCTGATGTTCACTTAGAAGATCTGCTTTATTCAGGCAGTTACTGACTCTACAACAGTTTTCATAATCTTAACAAAAATCACTTGATGGTTCCACCCACTGAAATGACAGAGCCTACATTTTGCTTTATGACATACCAGGTGTAACTAAGCACTCAAGGGAATAACAATCTGTTTAGCTCACAACATGTGGAGGACATAATAATGCAACGGAAATCAATTCATTGAAGACAGATCCCAACATACTATTCACATGAACTCCAACGCGCAATAGTCAAAAGTGAAGGCTGTTACCTCCAAAAGTTGCTATATAAATATTTCTGTGTTCATATAATTTTTGTGTTTAAACCCCAAATAATCAAGTAACGGGCAAATCATCTTTTATGTCAGGGAAATTACATAACCAATTAAATCTCTGTGGCAAAGGGGTTATAAACTGCTGACATTTCCACTTAAAAATATGCCGGCATTCTTAGGTGCTTCGATTAAGTCTAAATTGAGAAAAGACATCAAATAATAACTGACCGCTTTATTTTCCTAAGAAATACACAAAAATAATATAGATCTGTACTTGTGAGTACAGAAAAGCAATTATACTGTATTAAGGGGAAAGAGCTGTTATAAAACAGTTTGTGTAACACGATACTATTCTGTGGAAGGATAACAATTATACACAGAGCTATGTCTATATGTGTAAAGAAAATAATCAGGAAGAATATATACCAAAATGTTAAATAGTGGCTCATCTCAAAATGATGAGATTACATGATTTCTTTCTCTTTCTTTAAATTTTTCTGTGTTTTTGGAATTCTGTTTACATTTAGTATGTGTTCCTTTCATTTAAAAAAATCAAACAAGCAAGCGAAAGCCAAAATCTTCAGCGAAGAAGTGAAGTTGGTATTCCCATACGTGTACACACACACAAACACAATCTTCATTATAAAAATATTACAAAAAATATTTAAAAGATTACCAATAAGCAAAATAAAATCTTCACATTTCTAACCTGAACAATTATATTCACATTGTTTGTGCGATTCACATTTAGAAGCATTTTCTTTACACTTTTCTATTCATATGCACAGTCCATGTACATACACATACCTGAGAGCATTTAGAAGACCTTCTACACTATTTGGAGGTTGGTCCTTAAGAACTTTGATACAACCTTTCATCTAAGGAGAAACCAAAAGAAAAAAAGTAAAACGTGTTTCTTCATACAACATTCATTTTCAACGCGTTAATACTGAAACTAAACTAGGACTACAGCTCTACAACTAAGGAGCTCACGAGAAATTACATCTAGAAATGTCAAAATAATTATTCTTAGAACAGAAAAAAAATCTAAGTGTTATTATTCTCAGTTTGTCAAACAAACTTTTTGAGAACTTCTGTTGTGCACAGTATTAAGGAAAAAAAAAGATCTCACGCCTGTAAGCAGTTGAAAGGACATTCCAAAGGCAGTAACTGCAAACTTCAATCAGTCAAAACTGGAGTACTACCCACACAAACGACAAAACAAAGGGCTGGCTAAGGGAAGGCATCCTGGACAAGGTAGCTTTTAAGCAGAGTTTTAAAGGATGGGATGGACAAGAGTTGGCAAGGACAAGGAATTTTTCAGGGAAAAGAACCCCATGACAAAACAAATAAAATAGCAAATGCAAAGGAGACATAGGAATCTTGCAGGGCTGAAATGACTTGCATGGAGGAACTGATAGAGGACTTCCTTGAAAGCCAGGACGACACACTTGGAACCAATGGTCCAGACAGCAGTGACTTGTTACAGGCTATTTGAAAAGGGAACAACTCAATGAAGATGGTATTTAAGGAAAATTAAACTGGCTGTTGTAAAAAACACAGCATAGTAGAAATAACACAGGCTTTGGAAACCACAGCCGCTGCACTGTTTACTAGCAATTATATTACTTAATTTCCCTAAATTTTAGTTTCTCCATTAGCAAAGAAGCAATAACACCACCTACCTCCGAGAAGTATTTTCAGAGTTAAATGGGAGAACAAGTGTCAAATGCCCAGGACACAAAAACCACTTACTAAATGTTAATTAACTTCTCCTTATATACGATGATGTGAATGAAGGCACAACGACTGGCTAGTAATCAGTCATCTAGATACAAAGTGCTAAGAGCCTGAACTAGCTGTGAACGGGAAAACAGAGGACTATTCTCACAGAAGACTGGTTAGAGTGCTGATGAACTGGATGTAAGGAGCAAAATTACAAATTAGAGAAGATAGATAACTACTTTATTTCTTATGCTTTTATAGAGACAAGGAAAGCAGAAATCTAGGGTAGCCACTAATTATTATGATGGTGGGGGACTAGGGGAGCCATGTAAAGGCTTCAGCTTTTCCACTGAAGCATACCTAATGACTCTGTACATACATTTAGAAATGAATCTTTTACTTGAAATGGTCTTTGACCAAAGGCGTTAAATAACATACACACGCATTTCCGTATAGCTAATTATCTATATATACTGCCAAATGTACAGAAGAACCAATTATGAATACAAGGCTTCCCTACAAGACACTCTAAAGACAATGCAGTTATCCTTCAATCATCCTACGCTGCCTGTATATGGGCTATAAGAAAAACAGAAGAGAGGAGAGAGCACCATTATCACAAACTATGAATCTGAGCTCTGTGATAAAGTCCAATCTCCTAGAAGTTTACATTAAAAAAAACAACTAAGTTTTCCATTTAAGGAAATCCTTTGGAATTATATGAAACAATGTAACTTACATCGATTTTGGAAGTTTTGGCAAATGCTCCCACTGGATGTACATGGTCATAGAGTATGATGACGCCCACCATTACCCGCAAGCAGAACGACACTGTCTCTTCATTTGTAAATCTGCTCCTGTATTCCCTGGAGGGTAGACAAGATATGAGTGAATGAGACACATCACAAAACTCATTTCATGAGTTGACTCAACTCATGAGAGTTGGTGCTGAGACCGCCCATCTCTTAAGGGATGTTAACACCAACCCCCTTCCCCACCAGATCCTAGAGAGATGAGAAGACAGTGGGGCAGTTATCACCCACATACTCTAGTCTCTATTTGTACCCACCTTAGTGTATTACCCCTTCTGCTTGACAGAGATCAGACAATTTTAGAGAAATCAAAAGTAGCTCCTAAGTAAAAGTCTGGGGATGGATGCCTATGAAAAGGCTGTTACCACTAATATGAAAATAGTCACAGACTTAATAGAACAAATACATTTGCTGTTTAGGGCTTAACTGGATCTAAACAGATTACTGTATTGTTGCTAGGTGTTGCTGAGTCAATTTCCGACTCATATCGACTCCATGTGGCAAAGTAGAACTGCCCTGTAGGGTTTTCTAGGTTGCAATCTTTAATGGAAAGGAGCACTGGTAATACAGCAGTTAAGCGCTTGGTTGCTAACCGAAAGGTTGGTGGTTCGAACCTACCAGACACTCCGTGGAAGAAAAATGTGGCAGTCTGCTTCTGTAAAGATTGACAGCTTTGCAAAACCCTATAGGGCAATTCTACTCTGTCCGACAGGGTCACTATGAGTCAGGATCGACTTGATTGCAAAGGGTTTTTTTTTTTTTTTCAAATCTTTATGGGAGCAGATCACGAGGTCTTTTCTTCTGTGGAGGCACTGGGTGGGTCTGAACCACCAAACTTTTGGTTAGCAGCTGAGCACTTAACCCGTTGCATAAACCAGAATCCTACATTATTGTATTACTAGATTTGAATTTTACTATACACCTCTTTAACTTGAGAAAGAGGAAACAGAGCTTTTGTCTATACAGATGGTAGCATGGCATAGTAGAAAGAGTACAGAGTCAGGATGGAGATGTCCAGACATGTGTGAAGCCGACCACAGTGCATAAGCCCTTTCATTTCCCAGGACCTCACTCCCCTAAAATGAGGACGAGGAGGAGGGGGGAAAATAGTTGCCCTCCTACTTCATAATGTCTTCTGTAAGATGGTGTATATAAATAGTGCTTTGGAAAATAAAAAGCCCAACAAAAACAAGTTATCTAGAAAAACCATATATCATTCAATGATCCAGAGGACTTCTTTCTGCCTGCTGATATGAAACCAGCCAGAAAATATTGTAGTATATACCATAAATGGCCGTAGAGAGAGGAGAAATCCAGAGGAGAATTCAGGCCTGTGCTAGGAAAAAAACTGAGAATATTGAAGGAGAAAGGAAATAATTTGAATAACTCTAGCCCTCTAGCAAAAAAGGGAAGTTTACTGAAAACGAGAATGTTTACGAGAAGTATAAGAAGGAGCTTTAAAGTTCTTCCCCCACTTCCCCTCACCCCCACCAAAAAAAAAGGGCACCACAAAATCCCAATTCTGAAGAGTCTAAGTTAGTCTGGCTGGTCTGAGGCACCTGAAAACCAACTGTACCTTAAACTTCACCAGAAGTTACATTAAGCTGCCTGTTTTAATTTTGTTCATATATTGACATTCCACACTTGGGGTATACTTCATTTCTACCTTCCAAACATGACTTGTTCCTATTGGGACATGTTATGAAATACCAATCATCTCAGTATTAGAGTGAAAACAATGGGCTAATACTCACGGTGTTTCAAGCATGACTCTGCACACACTAGCCATGGTGCTTAAACAATCTGTGGTATTTTCTATTGGTAAATTTTTATTCTGTAAAAGTGTACACAGAACAAAAAAAAAGTAAAAATGACAATTATTACTCAAGTATAATTTTAGAAACCTGGCATAGTATCAAAAATGAGCAACTTTAAAATCTGTTTCCTACTCCCAGTTTCTCAAAAAAATCACTAGATTCTAAGCACTGCTCTAAGGTTTGAGGATACAGCCATGAGCAAGACAGCCAAGACCTTGCTCTCCCCAAGAGGCACTGCCTTCCAGTTGGGTGGACAACCACCACCACAACCATGCAGACAGGGGTCAAGGGATGTAGAGCCTTGTAGGCCATGAGGTATTTGGACTTTATCCTGAGAGTGTTGGGAAGCACAGGAGAGAAAGAATGAATTATATTTTAAGAAGATCACTTGACTGCTCTATGGAAAAAGTGGGGCAAGAGTGGAGGAAAGAAGAACACTGCAACAGGACGCAGTAATCCAGGGAAGAGGGCGGCGGTCTGAATAGGTGAGCTGCCAAGAGAGGGGCTCAGTTTTCAGATTCAGGGCATATTTCAGAGGGAAAGCCAATGAGACTGTTTGATGGAGTGGATATTGGGGTTGAGATAAAGGAATCTATGATGATAACCCCAAAGTTTTTTTGCTTGCACAGCGCTAGCATTAATTGAGATGGGAAAGACTGGAGAAAAGAGAAGACTTGGAAGAGAAAAATCAGGAGTTTGGTTTGGTTATGATATTGTTGTGGTGTCAACTATACATTCAGAGGGAGACTGCAAACAGTCGGTGGATGTGCATACGTGGGCCCCGGGAAAGGGGTCAGGGCTCAACATAAACAGCTGGGAGTCTATCAGCTTTGGAAAGGTATTCAAAGTAAAGAGACTTCTTGAGATCATCAGATTTAGTAGCACAGGTTCAAAATAAGCCAGTCTTCTGAATGTAACAAAAAAAAAAAAAAGGTAGAAGAAAGATTTTAAATGACAAAAACTCTGATACGAAAATTAGATAAATCGATAAAGGTTATTTCATTCAAACTCTTACCATCGAAGAGTACTTTCACCTTAAAAAAAGCATTCTCCTCAGACAGCCAGGACAGTTAACAGCACAAAGAATAACTTCCTTATGCAATGCTTACCTCTGATACAAATTTTGTTGTGGCATCACTTAAGGTCTTCAGCATGGGGGTTGCTTCAGCATAAAACAAAGACATTCGATTTGCCAATTCATTATTTACTTCATTTTCTCCTTCTGCCTGTATAGAAAGAAAGCGCACTTGATATCAGTTAATAACATACTAAATACCATAACTTATCAAAGGACCTAGGCACGGTGTCTGTCTCATGAATGCCTGTTAAACTAATCTACTAAATACCTTTAATAAATTATACTTTTTTAAAATTACATGTGCAGAAAATATTCCAATATCCAAAAAAACCTAAACCCATATTGCTGACAAGTCAATTCTGATGCATAGTAACCCCACAGGACAGGGTAAAACTGCCCCACAAGGTTTCCATGGCTGTAATCTTTATGGAAGCAAACTGCCACATCTTTCCCCTGTGGAGCAGCTGCTGGGTTTGAACTGCCAACCTTTCGGTTAGCAGCTCAGTGTTTAACCACTGCACCACGAGGGCTCCAATACTTAATCTTTAAAAATAAAAATATAAAAAATAGTTAATTTTTAAAAAAGATTATTCTCTTAAAATATTAAATGATCCAACAAAAATTTGAAGAACTGCCTGCTATACACAAGACACAGGTCTAAACGCTACGGAGGATGAAAAGACGGTTACAACACTGTAAGCTGTCCTCCACTATGAACACACAAGGACCCACACAGCATCCACAATAAAGTGCTAACCAGGACTGATAGAGGAGCCCTGGTGGTGCAGTGGTTAAGAGCTCAGCTGCTAACCAAAAGGTCGACAGTTCAAATCCACCAGCACCTCCTTGGGAACCCTATGGGCCAGTTCTACTCTGTCCTATTGGGATGCTCTGAGTCAGAATCAACTCGACGGCAACGGGTTTGGTTTTTTTGGCTTGGGATTGACAGAAAAAGAGAGGAGAGAAAGTCAGACTGTAAGAAGTAAAGAACTCATAGAAGAAATATGCTCTTCCAAGGTAACGATGGGCACGTAAACAAGGTATTCCAACCAGGTGGGAGGGGGAGGAGTATTTTTATGTTTTCAAATCACTCAGTAGAGTGCAGGGTAATAAGGGGTAGCAAATCACAAAGGGCAAAACTGAAAATGAAGGTTGGGATCAGATTGTAGAGTGCCTTGAATGCTAGCTTAAGTTTATATTTTTCTTCCATGTACAATGGAAAGCCACAAGTCAGTTTTCTAAAAGTTAACCATTGATAGCCGGCAGAGTGTACCAAAAAGGAAAAAGACTGGTCAGAAAATGAGTCATGCTGTTGTAAAATGATTGTCAAAAACAGAGTAAAAATTAGGCTCTCACTTGGGACAGAAGTAGCAGATGAAAAAAGAGAAGGGGAAGAGATTTGAGAGATAATTCATTTGACAAACAACTGGATTTACCTATCATTATAGAGGGTGAAAGACAGTACAAAGATGACTTTAATGTCTTTGTCCTTCAGTGATGCGAGGCTGGTAATCTTAGAGGACTGCATGTTTTGCTTTGATATTATTTTACAGATGGGTATGCAAACGACAGATGCGTAAGGTCAGCTTCACACCAGGAAGTGGTCTATGCAAAACCAAAATGATGCAAATAACAGAAGCTTCGTGGAAGAGAAATCCTTCCCAACCCAGGGCCTGACTCAGAGCAACTACTTCATAAAATATTCATTGAACAAAGAAAAAAAATGAATAGCCTCCTTTGGTACGTTTTTAATCTCTTATGCCACTTATCAATTATATATGTGGTTACAGCATTTTTCTAATAACTGCTATCTATTTGGAGGCTAGGAGTAAGCCTTGAAATTTCTCTATTTTTCACACCAGTAAAGCACAATGTAGGTCCTCAAAATACCTAGAGAAAAGATATTTCCTTTATATTTAAGATCTTAATGGTACTGAACTCTTTGGAGGTTAAAAAAAAAAAAAAAAAAAA